TATTACAGAGCTACAGTATTGAAAACAGCTTGGTATTGACATAAAAACAGAGATGTCGACCAATGGAATCGAATAGAAGACCCGGACTTTAACCCACAAATCTATGAACACCTGATTTTTGAAAAAGTAACAGCCTGCTTGTCTGGGAACCCATCAAAAGCCATGCCTGGGTTTGGTACATACCAAGACTGGGCTGCCTCTGCCTCCGAGGAGTGGTAACAAAGGCTTGGGCAGGGGACAGGAGCAGAGGGAGCCAGCTGTCATCTTCTACCCTTCTACTGACCCTAGGGGATGCAGATGGCTCTCCTCTCAACCAGACTGTTTATGTTTAGAGACACTTGTGACTCCACAGGGACAGGAAGCAGCTTCTGAAAATAAACAACACCGGATAGAAAGAAAAGGATAAACCATCCGGATGGGGACAGAATACATAAGTAGGTCAAAGGGGACTCCCTCCATGAGGACTCAAGCTGAGCTATGCTGAGACCTCCTGTTGGCCAAAGCAAAAAGGGAAATGTGTCAAGCTGCAGGGCTTTTAGGAACTAGCAGCAGATGACAGCTGCTCAGCTCAGCTGGCCAGTGGGCTCCAAGAGGCCTGAGCTTACACACAGGGCCTCATGTACTTCTTGCCACAAGATAGGCAGACTATCCCACTTGGGGCCAAGGGAGCAGATGAGGAAGGAAGGGACTATGGACCATATCATGTGGGGACTGCTGCCGCTTAGATTTGGACCTTGGATCCTTTTGCCCAGTCTGGGCTCCAGCCAGGCACTGCATCGCTCCCCTAGGAGGCCCAATGGTTGAGAGTATTTGGGAGTTCCTAAACAGCTGTCCCCTAGCTAAAGTATACAATGGAAAAAAGAGAACATCTTCAACAAATTGTGCTGGCAAAACTGGGTGTCAATCCGTAGAAGAATGAAAATTGATCCATATCTATCACCATGCATAAAACTCAAGTTCAAATGGATTAAAGACCTCAATATCAGTCCGAACACACTGAACCTGACAGAAGAGAAAGTGGGAAGTACTCTACAACACATGGGCACAGGAGACCTCTTCCTACGTATAAACCCAGCAGCATAGACATTAAGGGCATCATTGAATAAATGGGACCTCCTGAGACTGAGAAGCTTCTGTAAAGCAAAGGACACTGTCACTAAGACAAAAAGGCAATCCACTGACTGGGAGAAGATCTTCACCAATCCCGCAACTGACAAAGGTCTGATCTCCAAAATATATGAAGAACTCAAGAAACTAGACCGTAAAAGGCTAATCAACCCAATTATAAAATGGGGCACTGAGCTAAACAGAGAATTCTCAACAGAAGAAGTTCAAATGGCCAAAAGACACTTAAGGTCATGCTCAGCTTCCTTAGCGATCAGGGAAATGCAAATCAAGACAACTTAGGATACCATCTTACACCTGTCAGAATGGCTAAAATAAAAAATACCAACGATAGCCTTTGCTGGAGAGGTTGTGGAGAAAGGGGTACACTCATCCATTGCTGGTGGGAATGCAAACTTGTGCAACCACTCTGGAAAGCAGTGTGGCGGTTTCTCAGGAAATTCGGGATCAACATACCCCTGGACCCAGCAATACCACTCTTGGGAATATACCCAAGAGAGGCCCTATCATACAACAAAAGTATATGCTCTACTCTGTTCATAGCAGCATTGTTTGTAATAGCCAGAACCTGGAAACAACCTAGATGCCCTTCAATGGAAGAATGGATGAAGAAAGTATGGAATATACACATATTAGAGTACTACTCAGCAGTAAAAAACAATGACTTCTTGAATTTTGCATACAAATGGATGGAAATAGAAAACACTATCCTGAGTGAGGTAAGCCAGACCCAAAAAGAGGAACATGGGATGTACTCACTCATATTTGGTTTCTAGCCATAAATAAAGGACCTTGAGCCTATAATTCGTGATCCTAGAGAAGCTAAATAATAAGGTGAACCCAAAGAAAAACATATAGGCATCCTCCTGAATATTAACCTTCATCAGGCGATAAAAGGAGACAGAGACAGAGACCCAATTTGGAGCATGGACTGAAATCTCAAGGTCCAAATCAGGAGCAGATGAAGAGAGAGCGTGAGCAAGGAACTCAGGACCGCGAGGGGTGCACCCACACACTGAGACAATGGGGATGTTCTATCAGGAACTCACCAAGACCAGCTGGCCTGGGTCTGAAAAAGCATGGGAAAAAAACGGACTCGGACAGTGAGGACTACTGAGAACTCAAGAACAATGGCAATGGGTTTTTGATCCTACTGCACGTACTGGCTTTGTGGGAGCCTAGGCAGTTTGGATGCTCGCCTTACTATACCTGGATGGAGGTGGGTGTTCCTTGGACTTCCCACAGGGCAGGGAACCCTGATTGCTCTTAGGGCTGACAAGGGAGGATGACTTGATTGGGAGAGGGGAAGGAAATTGGAGGAGGTGGCAGGGAGGAGGCAGAAATCTTAAATAAATAAATAACCTTAAAAAATTAATCCACACACCTATGAACACTTAATTTTTGACAAAGGAGCTAAAATCATACAATAGAAAAAAATCTGCAACAAATGGTGATGCCATAACTGGATGCTGACATGTAGAAAAATTCAAATAGATCCATCTCTACCATCATGCACAAAACTCAAGTCCAAATGGATCAAAGACTTCAACACATAGCCAGTAACACTGAACCAACCTCATAGAAAAGAAAATGGGAAGTAGCCTTGAACATGTGGGCACAGGAGACCAGTTCCTTAATAAAATACCAGCAGCACAGACACTGAGATCAACAATTAATAGATTGGATCTCCTGAAACTGAAAAGCTTCTGTAAGAGAAAATGGCAGCCTACAGAATAGGAAAAGATATTCTCCAACCCCATATCAGAGAGAGGACTGATCTCTGAAATATATAATGAACTCAAAGAACTAGACATCAAAATACCAAATAATCTAATTAAAAATAGGGTACATATCTAAACAAATAATTCTCAACAGAAGAATCTCAATTGGCCAAAGGACATTTAAGGAATTGCTAAACATTCTTAGTCGTTAAGTAACTGCAAATCAAAACAACTCTGAGTACCATCTTACACCAGTCAGAATGGCTAAGATCAAAAACACTGATAATAGCTTATGCTGCAGAAGATGCTTATGCTGGTGGGAGTAAAAACTTGATCAGCTGCTGTGGAAATCAGCATGGTGATTTCTCAAGAAACTGGGAATCAATATACCTTAAGACACGGAAATAGCACTTTTGGGCATATACACAATGGATGCACACTCATAGTACAAGGACATTTGCTAAACTGTGTTCATAAACTATTCGTAATAGCTAGACCCCGAAAACAACCTAGATGCCTCATCTGAAGAATGGATTTTTTAAAATGTGGTTGATTTACACAATGGAGTACCAGCCAGGGATAGAAAACAATGACATCTTGAAATTATCAGGCAAATAAATGGAACTAGAGAAAAACCAACCTGACCGAAGTAACCCAGACCCAGAAAGACAAACAGAATATGTACTCACTTATATGTGGATACTAGATATAAAGAAAAGGATAACAAGCCTATAGTCCAGAACCCCAGAGAAGCTAGATAACAAGGAGAACCCCTAAGAGAGGACAAACAAGGATCTCCATTGGAAAGGGAAAGAGATGCGATCTCCTGAGAGATTTAGGATTAGAGAAGAAGAAAAGGGGGACAGAAGGTAAGGGGGGAAGAGAACATGAGAGAATGGGATGGTCAAGATGGAGGAAGGACAGAGAGGGAGAGCAAGGAAACAGATATCTTCTTTGAGCAAGCCATTATGGTGCTGGCAAGAAACCTGGCACTAAGGAAATTCCCAGAAATCCACAGGATGACCCCAGCTAAGGTCCTAAGCAATAGTGGAGTGGAGAGGGTGCCTAAACTGGCCTTCCCCTGTAATCAGACTGATGACTACCTTAATTGTCATCACAATACCTTCATCCAGCAACTGATGGAAGCAGATGTGGAGATCCATAGTTAAAGATAGGGTCAAGCTCCAGAGTTCAGTCAAAGAGAGGGAGGAGTGATAATATTAAATAGCTGATTTGAGCTAATGGGAGCTCACTGACTCTGGACTGACAGTGGGGTAACCTGCATAGGACCAAACTAGGCCCTCTGAATGTGAATGATAGCTCTGTGACTTATTCAGTCTATAAGGCCACTAGCAGTGAGACCAGGATGTATCCCTACTGCATGAACTGGATTTCTGAAGCCCATTCTCTTTGGAGGGATACGTTGCTCAGCCTAGGTATAGGGGAAAGGGCCTCGGTCCTGCCTCAAAGTTGTATGCCAAACTTTGTTGACTCCCCAGTGGAAGCCTTTCCCTCTGAGGAGTGAATGGGGGTTATGGTGGGAGAAGGTGGGCAGAACAGGAGAAGGGAGAAGGGGAGGAAGTAGGAACTGGGATTGATATGTAAGAGAAAAGATTGTTTATAAAAATAAATAAATAAGAACAAAAACAAAAAAGAAAAATTTAAGTACAACCACAAAGGAACTCTGGATCTCTTCTAGTCTCATGAGAAACACACAGATCCACAGGAATTTTTCCCAGTATACAGTTCTGTGAGCACTGCAGACAAAGAAGACATACCCTATCTAGGATGAATCTGTGAATCAAGTACCTGTGAGCTGCAGACAGAGCCAGACACAAGCACAAAGCACGGACAGAATGATGGAACCACAAGGAGTCTGAAAGCTCCTGTGGCTCCATTTGCCTCTTCCCACTGCTGAGCCTAACTTTGTGACTCCCCATTACCCAGACCCCTAAAAGAGAATCAAATCTGTCCCCAGCAGTTACAAAACAGTCAGAGCCTGTCTTTTTCTGCATCTTCCTCCTCCTTCTACTGGAAATTCAGAATAACACTTTGTCTAAATTCCCCCAAATCCATGAGAGATTTATTCTAGTCAGATACTAAATCATTCTCACCACGCAATAAGGATATTCATCCTTGTCAACCGAAACATACCTTGTTAGGACACAATTCACACCCTAGAGAGAAAGGAGAAAACACAGTCAATAACATGTTCTGCGTGTTCTTGCAAATCCTAGTCACACTCTCACTGGGTGCAGAGACAAATTCAGAGAATCAAATCTGTCACCCACAGTTCTCCAAGACAAGATATAAACAGAATACATGACTCTTTACTTGACTTACATGTAAACTGAGACTATTTTCTGTCCCTTACTACAAGGCTTTGGAAAGCTAAGATGAATAAATAGTAGTTTGAAAGCTTACATAGGTTTTGCTGTGTGTACATCTAAACATGTAAACACATGATTTATCCATGCTCCTTGTCAGCTCTCCATTACCTTACTTACAACTGACAATATGAGAATTTGAGTCTTTTAGACACAATTCAATATGTTAGTAATGAAGAAGCCACAAAGACTAGTACCATAGATTGTCAGATACTTAAAACCAACTAACCATATCTCTCTTCTCTTTTTCTTTTCTCTGTAATTGTTCTGGCAGAAAAAGAACATATGTGTCAAATTGAAAAACTACTAAAACAATGATCATTCCCCAAAATGAGGATTTTTGGGAGAAGAAAAACAGCTCAGAGTGAAATCTGGTTACCAAAAAAGATTTCAAGCACTTTTAATTACTTACCAGACCAAATTAAAGTATGAGTCTATAACCCAGATAGTGATGGGAGAAAAATCACACTTTGACAAGCAATACTCATTTTTGTATATCCTTGGCTCTCTATTTAAATTTTGATATCACTTTGAGAAACTAAAAATGGACAATTTTTATTTCAAATGCAGCCACATTAATAAATATCCTTTTCATCTTTCCAATACAATATTTGCTCTTTTACATGAACGGATATCAAGACCTGACCCACCAGGTCCACTTTGATATGTTAAGTGGGCACCTCAGTTAGCCATATATCCTGGGTTTGAGACCTAATATTGTGCAAATATTCCCTCTTGTTTGGATTTCAAATAACTTTAGTAGATTTAAGTAAAGTTACAGTCTTTGAGAAATGTGACCATTCTTCTAGCAACTAGCAATTACCAGGGACTCCTTGCCTGTAGTTGAACTTTCTATGGAAGTCCACTTTCTATAGTGGAACTTGGTGTGGTTTAGGTTTGCACAGGTCTTGGGTGTGGTATCACAACCAATCCCAGTTCATATGGGCTGCTGCTAAGCTCTGTCCAGAAGACACTGTTTTCCTGGTAGACCTTCATCACCTCTGCCTCCTATGCTCCTTCTGCCCCTTCTTCTGCAGTGATTCCTGGGCCTTTGAATTAGAGGTGGGCTATATATACTCCATTTAAAACTGGATAGTCTATAGTCTCTTCCTCTCTCCATCTTGGCTAGTTGTAAGTTTCACTATGTAACCCTGATGCCTGAAACTCACTATATAGACCATGCTGGCCTTGAACCCATGAAGCTTCATTTGTTTCTGCATTCTACCTGCTGGGATTAAAGGTGTGAGCCAGAACACCTGGGTGTAAGTTGGGAAGTTTTTATTTCATTTTCATTGTTGTGTGCTCCTCATGTTTTGTTTCTGTGTGTGAGAATCCCTCAAGTCTTGGGATCCCAGGCAGTAGGTTCTTGGCTACACATGGATTTATTTTATATAACATAAACCAAAAAAGCAGATTTCATAGAAAAAAAGAATTCTTTGGAGAACTGATCATTCTAGATATAGATGAAGTCTGATGTTTAAACTTGTCCTCATAAAGACATCTGTATGCTCATGTCCAGTGAGTCATTGTCATAGTAGATAAAATTCAGTCAACTGGAGAACTAATCAACAGATAAATTGGATAAAATGATATGATAAGCACATAATGTTAAAATATTAGGTATTCAAAGCAAGAAGCATTGTCATTTGTTGTAACTTGTATGAACTCAGAAAACTTATGTTATACTAAATCAACTGGGCACAGGAAAAAACAATACTAAGTGGTATTATTATATATGTGTCATGTACAAAAATTAACAGGAGCTATAAAGTTCCGGACTTTAAGACTTCCTTTTCAGGTTTCAATTAAAGATGCCATGATAAGCTAACAAGGGGGTCTAAAAATCTGAGGGTTAAAAAAATCTACTCACAACAAGTATCCATGTTTCTTTATTCTTCTCTCAATCCTTATTCTTCCTTGTTCTGTCTTGTTCTACCTTGTTCTTCCATGTTCTCTCTTGTTCTCTCCATTACAGATATTCTCAGTCATATACATCCTTTAAACCAGCAATTCCCAGCCCTAGCAGCTTCCAGGGCTAGAATGCTTTTGCCTTACAAAAAAATCAAATAAGGGTTTTCACACACACACACACACACACACACACACACACACACACACAAACACGAGCCTGTCAGCTCAAAAGTGGTTAGTGCACACTGGTGAACTCCTTAATGGAGAAAGTTAGTTAAGAAAGGAATTAAATAATCAGGGAATTCTAGAGAGGATGGTCAGTGTGCTAAACTACGTTGTTAGGTGGTCAGTAAAAAACTAAAATAATTATTTTCAGTATTCTGCTGTTTTCCTCCTCATCAGGCATAGAATCGGGTAACCAAGCAACAATGTAAATGTTAAGAGAGAAATTATGGCTCTCAATCAGATAGCACATACACCAGAAGCTGTGGTTTCTATGGATTTCGGTCTTGAATTCTGCTCTAGGCAGTAAAAACAAAGAAGGGACCCAGGCCTCCAAATCATCAGTTCCAGAGTATGCTATTATCAGCTGTTCTAGTCATGAGGTAAAACCAGACCAGAAGCTTGGTAAGTAGTAACTCTATGTCCTTGGATATTTGTGAACACCTTAAATAGAATGTTCTTTCCTTGACGCTAAGCACTGACCAACAGCCTTCTGATAAAGATAATTGCAGAAAAGCAGATCTCTGCATTACCTAGGGGGAGGAACAAGGCCTGGTAGTAGGAAACTGTTTTCACATGTATCCCAAAGGCATAGAAAACAGTTCTCAACTGATAATTAATTCCCAAATACACAACAGAAAGGGAGTTACCTACAGTAAAATCTATAGCAAAGGAAAGCTACTTTATTCACAGAGCAATAATGCCAAAATTTCCCTGAATATTAGTTTAACCTTTATCAAAGCCTCTGGTTCTGATAAATTGATGTGAAAACATGGCTGAGTAATTACCATATAATGTTGTGGTTTGTAGCAAAATATTAATCTCACAAAAGTAAAGTTTAGAATTTGGGTTATGAGAGGCTGGAGGCAGAGAAAAGTGAGCAGATTCTTTGGTCAAGTAATACAATTTTAGGCTTGTAGAGTATGGTGTCTGTAGTTGGAATCTATGTGAACTAACATAGTTTAATCATATATACATAATTCCATCTAATATAGGTGATAAATGAGTGTCCTCAATAATAATTAAACCAATGCAATGGAAACCAATAAACTAAAGGAGTATGAAAACTTCCTAGAACTACCAAGGTCTATAAGATTGGCAATTGAGGTGAAGGAACCAAATTCCTACAGAGATATTCATTACCAGAATATGACTTTGGTTTAGAGTATTTAAAAATATGATAGAGATAAAATGCAATACAAATTTTGCACGTGCACAGATAGAGAAGACATCTTTCATCTCAGCAACTAGAAGACAGAGGAGGGAAACTCTCTGAAGTCTCGGGTGGCAACTCCCCTCCCACTGGCCACACCACTGAAACAGAGGCAGTGGGGGTGAAACTCTCAAAAATAATATCAAATTTATGTGAAATGACAAATGGCTGTTGAATATGCTTCATACATGCTCACATTGCAGTAGGGTAGTAACTACCCATGATGCAACAGATCTTCTCCACATGGTTCTGCTAATGTACTTTATTTGATAAACTAAAACATGCCATTTCCCCTTGCCATCCAGGTTTGCAATGATTTCTCCATCTTCTGAAACTGGTTTAGGAAAGAGTTCAGGAAGAGCCCAGAGAGCCATACTGTACTCAGCAGGGAGATCACAGCAGCACAGAGGGAGAGAAATGGCTTCCAGGTCTCCTGACTCTCAGATGCTGGATCTCTTGCAGTCTTACCTGCAGCATCTCTATGGATGAGCACTGCAGCCCATGCTCCAGATCTGAGATGAGGTCACTCACTGTCTCCCTCTGCTTCACCAGCTCATTTTCAGACTTTTCCAGTCTTTTGACAATGTCTTCCTCCTTTTGCCTCAGCTTCTGCAGCTTATTCTTCTCCTCCGAATACAGGAATTCGTGCATTTCTTTAAACTTCTTCTGGACCTTTTCTACATTGCTCTGTATTTTTTTCTTAGGGAGTAGAAAAGGGAGAGTTATTCCGACTGTCCTAATGGGACTTAGAGAGAGAAATCCACTGTTCTGATGGGGAGTTCTCACAGGAACTGAGTTTGGGAAGGGAAGGCAGTCTTAGGGAAGCATCTGTCTCCTTTCTGTGTCTGTTTAGGATATTCCAAAACAAAGATCTTAGGTTACCTTTATCAAGGCCACCTGAGCCAAAGTGGGATGCCTTGGTATGGCTCAGTTTTCACACAGCTACTTGCAATACTTCTCATTCTACCTCTGAATCCCTGAGAGAAGCTAACCCCAAGAATGGTCCTGTGACTGCTCCCAAGCATCTTCCCAAAAGTCACAGTTCTATAAAGCACCACAGGAGAGAGTTTTAGGACTCAGTGCCATTCTCACCAGACCCCTGCCATGGTGTCAGCTCCTCACACAGCCAGGCTCAACTGTGATGCACTCTCTGTGCAGCCCCAGCTCCAAGGGAACAGGCAGAGAGGACTAATCAAGGCCTCTTGTCCCCAGCAGCCTCCAGGGAATGAAGAGCCAGGGAGCTTTTTGCCCAGGTCCTTCCCAGGCATCAGGCTATCTCCCTTAGAAGGTAGGGTCCTCACTTGCCTCCCAGAAAGTTCTCTCCTTTTGAAGGTCATCTTCCCACTGGTCACATCTTTCCTCATTAGCCATCTGCATCTCCAGGGCAGACTGGAGCATCACCTGTGGGAGAGGAAATGTAACAGAGTCAAGCTGTGTGCTTAGTATGACAGCTGCTCCTAACCAAAAGCCAAGAAATCCTTCTGAAAAGACAGGAAGTCTAAGACTGTTCTCTTTTTAATATCTTGTGCCATGATTTATGCATATAAAGTTTGTAATCTTCATCTTCAGTTCAAATCATTCTTGCATTTACGTGCACACAATCTCTCTTAGTCATCCCACCAAGTACACAAATCTCACTTTGATTCTGGCATCAGAAAACTGGGGTAATTTTGTTAGCTCTCATGGTCTTTCACATAAATATACACATACCTGCAATTGACACCTACATATTCCTTTTCTTTTTCTTTTTTCTTTTCTTTTTTTTTTTGAACCCACATCTTACTATGTAGCCCAGGTTGGCTTGGAATTTCTGTCTACACCTATATAACCTCAAACTCATCAGTTGCCAGAGTCCTGGCATTTAACCGTGCTCCACCACACTGTCCATGTGTATTTTCTTTTGTCATTTTTTTCCTTTTTTTATTGTATTTTTTCTTATGTTGTCACAGGCTGCCCTATGTTGGGCTGCCATATGTTGGGAGCCACATTTTTTAGGAGACTTTTGCCGGGTTACTAGCCATAACCAGTTCCTACATTCCAGGGTTTGAGCATGAGGATTAGAAATGTTAGACAGGAGGAACAGAGATAAGAAAGAACCACAGGGACACAGGAAAATAATGGGAGGGCAACTCAGCCTCCTGCACACTGAGTTGGGAGCTCTGAGTTCTCTGAGTTTCCCTGTTTAACTTTCCATACATATTTGTGCACCAATACAACAGGGGGAGAAGGCAAAAGACTGCCTTAACATGATGAAAATGACAACTAGAACAGTTGCTTACATCAATACTTTGAGACATCAAGTCATTAATTACAAGGAAAGCATTCTGTTGTTTAGGCAGTGAACCCACCCTATCCAAGTATAATGAAGGCAGCCTCTCCCTAGGTCAAACCTCCTAATTCAAAGGGAGGCAAAAGTATGCTTGAATTCTCTGACCTTTGGTCAGGGTGGAGTGCATCTCCCTCTATGGGCCATCTTAATTTCCAAAACACCAAGTAAGCACACCCTAGGTCAGCGTGTGCAGCCATAGTTGTCAGCAACTTAGAATAAGCTCAAACTCTCTGACCTTCAGTGAGGTGAAATAGGCTCACATTTTTGGGCCTCCACAGGTTTTTCTTCATTGAAAATAGATTTTTTTATGCAATATATTGTGATTACAGATTCTCAGGCACCTACTCCTACCACTTCCTCTCCACCTCCCCTCCCATTCAGATCCACACGCTTTATGTCTCCTGTTACAAAACAAAGAGGCATCTGTTTCTCAGCCTCTAGAGAGGCTTTGCTGAAACATTTCAATGCCAGACTCAAGGCTTTACTTTCCATATCAGTACAGCCCAGACATCATTATGAGAAAAAGAACCCTCAAATGTGGGCATAGTTCATTTTGTGTGGTCATCCATCTCCTACTGGGCACAGGACCTTTCCTTAAGAACAGTTTATTTCCCCCAGTGAGACTTCCTTGGAGAAAAGTAAGTTTACAAGTAGTTATCAACTGGAGATTGCTTCTGGGTAACGGATGGGCCATGTTCCCACTTCTTCCAGCTCTAGAATCCCATATGGTGCAGACCCTTGCAGGCTCTGTGCATGTTGCAACAGTCTCCATGAGTTTACATGTGCGGTCACAAGCAACCAACAGAAAACAAAGTCCCAACACGGAACTTGCCTCTCACTATGGAATTCTTTCCCCTCCTCCCAGATGTTTCAACTGCTACACGCACATTATCTTCACTGCTGAACGTCATTCACTAACTAGCCCCATGGTTGGAAGTCACGGGACTGGAATTTAGGAAGTATGAATGAATCTGACATAAGCAACGTAAGAAGAAAAATATGAAGTGAATTAGTAGTTCTGTTCATGGCATTTCTTGGTCATCAACTTAACTTTACAGGGACAGTTTCAAATTTATTTTTCTATCCTAGTATTTGTAGTCAGGCAGATTCTCATACAAGTAAGTTAGAATAAACCATCATGTCCTTTTAGGTAGGAAAGAATGGAATGATGTAACAACCCCAGAGTCTATGACGTCCAGGTAATTGACCTGACACACCAAGTGGAGATTTCCCATTTGTTACTGTCTCCTGCTCTGTGTCCCACACCCTCCCCCTTCCTACCTTGTATTTAGTGGCCACCTCTTCAATGAGAGCTGTTTGGTGACCACAGTACTCCTGAGATCTCTCACAAAGCCAGCAGATGGCCATCATGTCCTTCTCACAGAAGAGCTGGAGCTTCTCTCCATGCTTTGCACAGACATTCACCTTCTGCTCCTCCCCTGAGCTTGTCTTGAGCCCTGTTAGCCTCTCCACTATGTTGGCCACATGCCAATTGGGCCTCAGATTCCCAAACAGGTAACTATCTCGACATACAGGGCAGATGCTCTCTCCTTCTTCGCCTTTGTTGGACTCGTAGTTCAGTGTGATGCAGGCTCGGCAGAAGCTGTGACCACAATCTGCACTCACAGGCTCCACCATGAGGTCCAGACAGATAGGACAGGTCACCTCCTCCTTGACCATCCCCAGGACTGATGAGGCCATTGTTGCTGTGATGCTGAGTCTGTCTGTCCGTACTCCTGACACTTCTCTTCAGGTACCTGAGTGACTGGGATGATGAGAAGGAGGACAAGTGAGAAAGGGAAAATCAGCACTGAACTGTGAAGAGATCAATGAATGCCCTTGATGATAAGGGAAAAGAACAAAGGAGAGAAATATGGAGAAAAGTTAGAGACATGGCAAAGAAGCATGTTGTCATCCTTTCAAGTCCTCTGCTATATTTCATCCCAAATGACAAATTTCAGATGCAGGATTTTTATTTCCTTTTACTGAAGACCAGGAAGAATGTGGTTCCTTCCATCAGCCTCGTGTAACCAACCTTCTGTTCTTCCTTTTCTTTTCCAGGATATTCAGTGTTACAAGCATCAAACTACTCACTTCTCCCCTGCTGTACTTCCTCCTTCATCAGCACCAGTCAGTGTGACCCTCTGATCCTCTGCTAACCAGTCTTTTACTAGAAGCCTGGTGCTGACTGGAGTGTACACAGTCCCATCTCCTGATAACACATAGGCAATGATTTCTCTTATTGCCATTTAATAAATGACAACATTTGTGTTTGTACACATGGTTAAGGCAAGCCCTGTGCTTCATGTATCGTGATGGCCACTTACAAGGCTCATTTGTCTGTAATACATTGAAAGGGGATGAATAGCATCCCTTTAGTGTCTTCTTTCAGAGGTCTTTGCCCTACCCCATAGAGTTCAGTAAAGGAAAAAGGTGACATCCAAGACATAATTGATAGCCAGGACATTGGATGTGTGGAATTATTTCTCCAAGCACTGCAGATTCTGAGGAATGCTGTGTCTTTAAACGTTGAGAATTTATCCTGTGTGTTTTTCCTCAAATACAGTGGCTTCCCCTTAAGCAACTGTTGTCCTAATCAGCAACTGTAACTCAGCAGCTACCAACAGTTCAAAGTGCACAAGGGCACAGACTGTAGAAATTCTGTTCCCTCACAGGCTCTCTCAAGGCCACTAAGGTAAACTTCAACTAGATCTCTACCCTCTATCACCTCAGGAATCAAAGGTTGAGGTGAAATTCTGTTCATTCAGAGAGCTTGAATAATCAATAGCTAGTCCTTTCTCCTTGCTTGCTGCTCACAAAAGCAGTGTGTCCTTCTGCTCCACCCACACTGAAGAGTCCTTTCTTTATGAGGTCCCTCCCTACCACTTTCTGTCAGCTAGTTGCTAACTCAACCACTTGACGTCAGGTTAATTTTATTTAATAAAACAAATGTAACATGTTTTTCCATTGTTAACAAAAGCAATAGGAAAAAGAAATCCAACTCACTTTAAAGAAGTATTTCCCAACATTCGTGGTCTAGAAATTTAACAAAGAAATTCATGGAAGACTCCATATATGAAGGCCAGCTTGATGCTGAGTTCAAAATCACATGAAAAATTATACTTCAAAGTAAACTAATTTTACCTGATAACATGTAATATTAGTTTAGTAGGCAAAGCCAATGGGCAACCCACAGTTCATCAGCAAATGAAAGATAAGAAAAACTCTCCCCATTCTTTGCATGAGACAATTTGAAAATCCACACCATTGTTTCAGGAATAAAAATTCTACAAATGTTTAAGTATAGGCATAAACTTCCTTATTTTAAAGCCATATTTGAAAAGTCTACTGCTAATCTCATAACATATTTAGGACAATGGAAAGAAAGTCTTTTTTTAAGTTATGGCAGAAAAACATGGTGCTTATTGTTGTCATTTCTAGTAAACACAGCAGGACAGGGGAAGTATTAGCACCACAAGACTGGAACAGAAATAAACAGAAGGTGTTCAGAGTTGACTTTTTTTTTGGTTTTACAAAACAGGGTTCCTTTCAGGAACTTACTTTGTACAGCAGGTTGGCCTTGAACTCATAGAGCTCCACCTCTCTCTGCCTCCTTAGTGTTTGAATTAGAGGCTTCAGCCACTACCACCCAGCCATGTTTGTTTTCCTGATGAAAGAAAAGCCAGTGAGCTCAGTAAATATGCAAGATGTGATAGCCAGTATAGAGAAGTCACAAAGGGTGAGGAATTCAAAGAGAAATTAAGAGCTGGGTCTCTAAACCTGGCTTCTTGGCAGGTGATGCCAGAGGATGGCAATCTCAAGGCTCTATAGCTCAAAAGTGGTACACTTGAAACACAGTAAAAGGGCAGGAGGGGTGGTTCAGTGGTTGAGCTCCACCAGTTGTCACACATACCCCTGTGCTCCAGGTCCAGTGTAATAATTCAGAGAGAGAGAGAGAGAGAGAGAGAGAGAGAGAGAGAGAGAGAGAGAGAGATGCTTGCCTCTTCAGAAGAATAGCGAGAAGAAAATGGGAAAGGGTGGAGCTTGTCTCTTAAAGGGACCTGCATATGGACTACATAGTGACATAACAGACATAGCACCCTGGGCTGGCCAAGGTACTGCCTGATTGCATCCTGCCAGGTGACTGGGACAGCATAATACCTGAATCCTAACACCAGGCCTCACATGACTGCTCAATGCTACCTGTAACTCCAGTTCCAGTAGATCTTAACACTTCCTTCTTGCCTCTGATGGTGCTGCATCCAAATGCTGCAGATATATACATACAGGCAAAATGCCCACAGATATAAAATGAAAATAAATGAGTCAATAAATTTAATAAAAGAAAGAGAACAATTATATTTATGAAACTATTAAAACCAAGGAAAAATGAACGATTAGGAAAAATAATTCCTGCAAGATGAAGTTGCTCTTTAGTGTACAAGTAGATTCAATAATCTACCTTTTAATCCTATTTCTATATCCCCCCTTATTTTTTTTAGAGTAGATTCAATAATTCTCTCTATATCCCTTAATCTCTATACCCCATTGATAATATATTCCCTCTGCATCAATATTCCTAATGATTAAGAGAATGCTTAAAGGTAATATATCCAAAATGCAATCAAGTTTTAGATCCAAATAATCCACATGTGCATCCTATAATTTCTCTTTCACAAAAGTCAATTCTCTCTGTTTCGACTGATAATTCTCTTGGTCTGTTTAAATCCTTTTCACTGTCTAAGGTTTTCAAGAAAATTCTCAGATAATTTTTTTTTGTTCCAATAGTGGGCCTTAGATGGGAAATATCTCCTACAAATCTTTGTAAGTCATTAAGAGTCAACAATCGATGTCTCTAAATTTGCACCTTTTGGGGTCTAATTTTCTGTAGAACTATTTTATACCTTAAGTAATTAATAGACTCCTCTTTGCATTTTTTCCAGGAACAATTTGTAACCCCCAACCATGCAATTTTTTTTTTACCTCATCAAATACTCTTCTAAAATATCTACATTCCAGTTAACTAGTAACAGATCATCCATATAATGGTAAACTATAGATTGAGGAAATTGCTCATATAATTTCGAATGACTGACAAGCAAAATATTGGCACAAAGTAAGGCTATTTATATACCCTGTGGTAGAATTTTCCATAGATATTTTTTACCAGGCTGAGAATTATTATAAGTAGAACCATGAAGGAAAATTTTTCTCTGTCTTTTTCTTGTAAAGGCATAATGAAGAAAAAAATCTTTTAAATCAATAATTATAAGATACCATCTTTTAGGTAATAGAGAAAGCAAATGAATGCCAGACTATAGGGAGTCCATTGGCTGAATCATCTTATTAACAACCCTGAGATCTGTTACCATTCTCCATTCTCCAGATTTCTTTTTAATAGCAAATATACCTTACCTACTCAACTTCCCAGCTGAAGAGGGACTGAGCTCCTATCTTCTCCTGCTTTATCTCTTCTTCTCTCAACCCAGCCATATCACTTCCTATCTGTCTGTACAGATCTCCAAATCTCTATGGTTAGCTAATGGCTGGATTTGCCCTCTGATATTCAGGCAAGCTTTATTTGAAAATAAGATAGCATAAGTTTTCTTTCCTTTAGATCTAATTATATTAGGTCCCCCAACAGATCTCGGACTTTGGATCTTCCTACATCAACAATCTTTGTAGCTAGAATTACTAGTACAAGCTGAATTTTATTTAGGCATGGCAGACATGAACCAAGGAAAAGGCAGACAAATATACACATTTTTAAGTAACATTAACAATTCTCTACAGACTTGAGGCTGTTTCACAGTACAAGTAAATGTATAAGAGGCTAAAGGAAGATTGGGACTTATAATCACAGAGACAGAAGCCAAGGAAACAAATTCATAGAATCATATGTAAATACACTATTACACAGAAGGCCTTAAACTCTGTTTTAAAACACCATTCTGATTTTACTTCTTCAGTGGGGGACAGAAGTTTCTGTCTTGCAACAGGGAATTCTCAATGCAACCAAAAATTAACCATTAAAAAAGATGAGAGTGAACTCCATCTGGAGAAATACCTGGATGTCTCTGGACCTTGAAATTGGTCCTCCTCAAAGCCAGGCTTCCTTCTGGCTCCTCATCCCTAGAGCACTCAGCAGGAAGCCAGCAGCCATCCTTCCCCTTCCCCTTCTCAGTTTCAAATTAAACTCACCAGAGCAAAGACTATGTTTTCTTCTCAATTCTTCCAAACTCTGTCCTCTAAAATTGCTCTCACACCTTTAGACACCAACAAAGAGATCCTGAATCTGTGGAGAGGAGCAGATGGAGGTCAGAGTAAATGTCTTGAGGATTCAGTCACCAAGTCTGATCTCTGTTGAGCCAGTAGAAAAAAATGAAAGTTAAGACTTTGAGGGCTGGAACTGAGAAAGAGAAACTACGGAACTATACACCAATGGGGTGCCATCACACAGTCCTGGTACTGTGACTGTGCAGCTCACTCTATACAACTAGAGTGAATCAGTACAGGTCAGCCCTGCCCACCAGGAACTTGGGACATTTTCCAGTGCTCCAGGGGCTTGTTATGTCACCGTTTCAAACTCGTGTCACAATCACCCTAAAAAATCCTGACCCTCAAAAATCTTCTTCTAATGGGAAAGAAAGAATTCCCCTTGGGATGCTCTTGCAGCTGAGCTCCTGATTGCGTTTTAATTTGCGGGGGGCAGGTGTGTCCCAAGTAGAAGGAAATACTAGGTGAGGGACAGAGAATTGCA